TTTTCAAAATTGTAAAATTTACTTTAGTTCATTAAGATACTATTTGTGAATCGACAATAATATGTTTCGTCTTTATTGCATAATATTCACACTCATATCTTCCTTTTTTTTATCAAACTACAAAATATATATATATATATATATATATATAAGTAATTTCAATATTAATGATAATTCAAAACACTAAGTTACTAGATAATATAAATTTTTTTAAAGAAAATAAACTAACATATAACTAAAAAAAATTTAACCTTATCTCAATACTTAAGATGGGTCTATCAATTTTAATAAAAATAATAATCAAAACCACCTATATCAATCAATTTAAGTGCCATATTAATTGTACCATTTTGATTCACAAATCTCCCAATTAAATATATGGTTCTGCATTGAGTTCCACTAATCCTACCTATAAAATTTTATTCCAAACTCAAGTTCAGCCACATATATATAACTATGTGCACACTCAAAATGTATTACAAATTCTATCAAATTTGAATTGATTTGGTAAAAAAGATGACAAAGTTTAAATATGTGAAAAACGGATTTTGATCTTTATTAAATCATTATGATATATGCTAGAAAATTAATTCGAACATTATTCATTCCTTCTTTCTCTTTCAAATGTTTTTCCTTTTTTACCAATATATAATATAATACTTTAAACAACTCCTAATTATAAACTAATTATGGCAATTATGAATGGCACAAACCCCATAATTTCATTGAATTTTACTAGTTTGAGTATTACTTTTATGCTCAAAACTAATCCACCCAATTTCTAATGTTCACCATTACTTATAATCTCTTTTATGCATATGCAAGAAAATTACAATATTAATGTTTAAAAATGCGAATAAAATCAAGTGTATTTAAATAATATACAAATACAATTCTTTCAACAACACGTTTTAGGATTGATTTTAATTAACTAAAAATAAAATACCTTGATTAAAAAGTATTATTATTATTATTATTATTATTATTATATATATCAGCTTTTGTTTTCATCAATTAATACTCTACATGTTAAGAACTTATACAATAGGCATCAACATTATATTTTGAGTTTTATATATATATATATATATATATATATATTAGCTGTGTACCAAAAAATAATCCTAAGTGTGTGGTTCAGCGGTAGGAGTTGATCCACGTTCAAACAAAGTCGGCACTGGATACTTCAGGAATGAACCCCAAAAAAGCTGTGTACCAAAAAAAATTAATAATATTAGCTATTCTTAAAAGAAAAAGAAAAATATATCTCCGCTTCGTTTTGGAAAATTAAAATTAAAAAATAACGTATTATTCGTTTCGCATATTCATTGTAGACACTTTGTAGAAATACCCTACTGTTGGGTTTTCGGCTATGCCGTCAAGAAAAAGACATCTCAAAGCGAATAATTAATTAGTTCTTTTGAGAATAATAATTATTTAGTTAATAATCATACAGTTGAAAAGAACTTTTGCAATATTATATGCTTGAATTGATCGGGAAGAGCTATATGAGAATGAGCCTAGTAACAAGGGTAAGTAATAAAAGATAATAGAAGACAAGATATAAATAGATAATTTATTGGTCAGTTGTGAGTTAGAATTAGATAGTTTGTTAGTATTTTTTTTATTATTTGTTTTATTTTTAAAGTTTGTTATCTTTTCTTTTGTCTTTATATATTTGTGTTGAGAAACAAAAGGAGATCGAGTGTGTGAAGATGAATAGGTGCTGCGGGCAGAGAAAGTGAAGCAGAGAAAATATTATTGATTTGTTATATGACTGATACAGGATATATACAAGTTTATAAAGCAAATAATAAAACTAATAATAAAAGTTGTTATAACAGAAAACATCAAGTATCCTTTATATCCCCCCTTAAACTAAACTGGTATGTAGAAACAACATTTAGTTTGGATTTTAAGCTTTGAAAGATGGTTGTTGAAGGAGACTTGGTTAGAAGATTAGCCACTTGAAAGTTGAAACTGTGAAGGTATATGCTTGACTTTAATGAGACCTTGTGCTACTCTTTCTCTTACAAACCACAAATCAATTTCAAAATATTTTGACTTGGAATGAAGGACCGGGTTTGTAGTAAGGAGAACAACACCCAAGTTGTCACACCAAATTAATGGTGGTTTGGTGTGTTTTGCATGCAATTCTGTTAATAAGGATTGAATCCATGTAATTTCAGATAAATTAATGGTGGTTTGGTGTGTTTTGCATGCAATTCTGTTAATAAGGATTGAATCCATGTAATTTCAGATACTGTGGCAGCCATGCTCCTAAATTTTGCTTCTGTACTTGATCTGGAAACAGTGTTGCTTCTTAGCCATCTAGGATACTAGATTTTTTCCCAAATACACATAGTATCCTATTGTAGACCTCATGTCTGTTATGTCTGCTGCTCAATCGAAATCTGCGAACCCAGATATTGGCAGACTGGGTGATTTCTGAAAATGTAATCCTTTATCTTTTGTACCACTCAAGTATCGTAGCAATCTTTTTACACATCTCCAATGAAATTCCAGGGGTTTGTGCATAAACTACCACAATTTTTTTACAGAATAAGCTATGTTGGGTCGAGTTATAGTGGCATATTGAAGAGCTCCAAGAATGCTTCTGTATAGATCGGGATTATCAAAGTTCTCTGTTGAATCTGTTGGCATTCTGCAGCTAGGAGGAAGAGGTGTCTTTACTAGTTTGGAATCCTGCATATGAAGTTTAGTCAGCAGATTATTTATATATTGAGTTAGAAGCATACTTCCCTGTGTATCATAGTGAACCTGTAATTCGAGAAAATAATGTAACTTTCCCAAGTCTTTTAATGGGAACAGAGTATTCAATCTATTAATGAGATTCTGTATAAATGCTTGAGAGCTCCCTGTAATCAGAATGTCATCCACATAGACTAATATATATATTGTATGAACAACATTAACAAGAATAAAGAGAGAATTATCACATTTTGCTAGTTTAAAACCAAAAGTGATCAAAGTAGAAGCTAGCTTAGCAAACCAAGCTCTAGGAGCTTGTTTAAGGCCATATATATATGGCCTTATTAAGCTTACAGACAAGATTAGCATGTTGAATATTGAACCCCTCAGGTTGTTTCATATATATATATATATCCTTTTTTAATGAACCATTTAAGAAAAAATTATTGACATCAATTTGTCTTATTGGCCATCCCTTTGTGAGTGCAATAGAAAGAATTATTCTTATAGTTACGGGTTTGATAACCGGACTAAACGTTTCTGTATAATCTAGACCTTCTTGTTGACTAAAACCCCTAACCACAAGTCTAGCTTTGTGTTTAGATATATTGTTCCATCAGGTTTGTATTTTAATTTGAATATCCACTTTGATCCTATTGCTTTCCTATGTGGTGGTAGAGGGACTAACTTCTATGTCTGATTCCTAGTTAGAGCTAGGTATTCTTCTTTCATAGTATTGAACCATTTCGAATCTTGTAAAGCTAAAGTAACAGTACTAGGTTTTGTTTCAGCAATGAGGACTCTAGGTTTGAATATACCATACTTGGACCTAGTTATCATATTATGC